TTCTTTCTTTCTTTCTTTCTTTCTTTCTTTCTTTCTTTCTTTCTTTCTTTCTTTCTTTCTTTCTTTTTTGAAAACACGCTTTCTCAATAATGCCACCTGCATCCTGGTTAAAGGCCAGAATTGCCAGAACCTTCTTATTGATCTAATAATACAAATATGTAAATCTGGAAAATGAAATTTCCCACCCAAGACTTTGTGGAAGAACTCCCTGAAGATTCTTTTTGAAGGCATATGGGGTGCTTTGTGGGGTGTCTTCTGTCTCCTGTGTAGGCCATGCTGCATGTCTTGGGATAAAGGACACTTGCAGTGGACACAAAATGGCGACAGTGTCTACAGGATGCTCAGATCCATTTATCTGGAAGAATATGTGAAGCGATTGCTGTTACATGTTGTCATTTTAAATCGTGTGTCACTGATGCTACCTGTACAACTTCAGTCCAAAAAAATAAAGCTCTCAGGGAGAAATGAAACAATGAGCATTAGAAAATAAAATATAGATGCTTACCACTCACCTGCCAGCTCTTAGTATCCTTAAATTATATGATGTATAAAGAGGACTGTTAGTAGTTTTTCCTTTTGCTTTATTTATTTGTACTCGAGTGTTGGGAGGGACTAGTGTTTTTTCTGTGTTTTCCACCTATCCTTTGTGGTCGGGTTTCCTGTGGAGAGAGTAGTTTTTCCTATTGCACTAGAATATTATTTACTCACTAAATTGAGTTTTTCAGTCAAGTATCAAATATTTATTAAGCACTTACTATGTACCAGGCATAGTAGAGCTGTAGTGGTAAGCAAGACAGAGTCTCTGCCCGTCAAGAAGTTCACATTTTAACGGGATTTTCAGGGGCGATAGAATACCAATGTGCATAGTATACAAGGATCATACTATTTAAAAATATTCCGTATGAACTACGATGCTTAGTGCAGATGACGAGGATCTGTGCTATGTAAAAGCTGTGAAGCAGTGCCCTAAGAATTACCGCGCGCTGTGGCTTTTTCCTTTCCATTTTCCCTCATTGCAAATGTAGCAACTTTCTGCCCATTCTGTGGAAGTGAATGGCCCTTCGATAAAGCAGTCACAGGTACAAAGCAGAGCTACCTCCCAGCCCCGAGCCACAGTCTGCAAACACGCCAAGGCCGTGGTGCTGCTGAGGGAGACCTGGCTCGGCCAGCTTGGAGGGGAAGAGTGGGATGGAATGGTGGCTTTCTCTGTCCCTAATTAAGTAAGTGCCTCTGTGTATATTCTTTTCTATTCATAGCAGGAAAAGTTTGGCTCAGCTCAGTTTTGGAACTGTGGAAAGAGACTCGCCACAGAGAGCAAGTTTGTGTAGCGTGTCCCCTTGCCCTGTTTAAAGTCATCCTCCACTTTGGTGTGGCCATCCTGGTAGGCCTTCTCCGCCATTCTCAGTTTTGGTTTTCCTAAAAACTGCGTGCAGTTAATTCCATGTGCCATTGTTACAAACAAACAAAATCTACTTTTTAGACTGGTGCTGGTGTAAGTAGCCACTTTTCTCTCTTGAGTGTGTATTTTAAAGATTTTTTTTTAAAATAATGCCAAAAAAGCAAAAGCATTATAATTTTTAAACTTAATTAAATGTCTCGTATCTTATTAGCTTAGTAGTTGGAACCACCTAGTCTTTAGGTGCAAGGCTGTTGTTACAGAACCAAGAAAAAAAGATGTCGTGTGTGTTATGAGACTGTACATTTTTTAAAATAGCAATATGCAATAAAGATGACTTCATTGGGTGTACATATGTGTTTTCTATGAATTATTAAAATAGCATCATTAAACTTTTCAGAGCATTTCACCATTAAATTTAAATGTTGCAAATCAGTGAATCAGAACTATAATGTATTTTTAAAGGTGTACGTGCTGGAGCTAAAGGAATGTAATTTCCTATTGTCGCTGCGTTTCGTGTGTCCAGACTGTGTGGCTGCCTCTTTGCTTACTTGGTCTGTATGGCACACCTACGCTTCTGAGTTAGGTGTGCCGGAGTGCCAGTCTGCAGGATCAACCCCTTCCTGTCGGGAAGCGGTCCTGGTGTGTATCAGTACGAGAAGCACCACCAGTGTAGCAGAAGGCAGGTTTTAGTAACATCCTGGAACGCAGAGGCTCCCTGCTAGTCTCCTGTCACCTCAATCCAATTTGAAGGCAAGCAACTCTCAAACCCTTCATACCCTGACCTTTCTGATCTTTAAAATAGAGTCAGTGTTCTGATAACTGCGTCAGTTTTGTTTGCTATTAAGTTACCTGACAGCCGCATATACCCAAACCTGTTCTCTGCAGCCGGTGTTCAGACAGGAGAGACATCTGCATGTCAGACAGCCGATTCTGCAAAGCGAGCACACTCTAGCCTCATATCTCTGTGAGTGTGGAGCTACGTCCAGAACGGAGCCTTGTCTCCCCTTGATGTATGGATAGGGACATGGCAAACTGTGAAGGCCTTAGATCAATATAGTCAGTTTGGCCTCACTTACCAAACTGTGGCAGTAGCTGGGGAAATGATCACTTCTACCAGAGTGACATCATGTGCTCCGTCTAGAACTTGACCCCTTTTCTACAGCCTGATGTGGGTTCATATGCAGTTAATTGGATATCGTGTGTGTTCACATGTTGTGTGATCAAGCTTGTTTGCACTCATATGTGCATACATATGGAGTCCTGAAGTTGGCATTGATGTATTAATCAATTTCCACCTTATTGAGGCAGTTCTGTCTCTCATTGAACTCAGAGCGTGCCAATTCCAGCTCCCTGATTCTGACAAGTCTAACTTGCTACTTTGTTCCAGGAATCCCTTATCTCTGCCTCCTGAGTGCTGAGATTGTAGGCCATCACAGCACCTGCCCTGTGTTTCCATGGATGCTGTGGGATCTTAACTCCAGTCCCTATGTTTTCCAGGTAGAGCCATCTTTCCAGAAAGATTGGCACATTGGTTTGGTCATAATCATTCCAAATAACAGATTCTGGAAGGGACAACTGTCGGGAGTTGCTGTGGGGTGGAGAACACAGCAAACTCTGCAGGCTGGGCAGTTCCTAGACAGGTAGCTGAATAAACACAAACTTCAGGGTATTTGGGTTAAGGGAGGCAGGACTCTAAGTAAGTTCTGCTCATTAACTCTGGTGTTTACGTTATGATACATCTCTATATGCTCCTTCCTAATAATATGAATTTCACTTAAGGTTAACATTTTGTTGAGAGGGCAAGACAGATAGCTCAGTGGTTAAGAGTACTTATTGCAGAGGAACCAGTAATTCTGCATCTGGGTTTCTAATCTAAGAGAATAAACATTCACAAAAAGAAATACTGATGATATGCATATTGGGGCTTGAGAGATGCTGCCAGTGGTTGAGAACACTTGCTCTTGCAGAAGATCTAGGTTCCATAACCAGCACCCAACAGTGACTTAGCCATCAGTAACACCAGTTTTCCAGAGGATCCAATACCCACTTCTGGCCTCTTCAAGTACCAGGCACACATGTGGTATGCAGCCTGAGACTTGCAGGCAAAATTTACCCATACACATAAAATATTTTAGAAATAATCTGGACAGTGAAGGAAATGCCTGGCCTGCCCTTTGATCTCTTCCCTGGCATGGCTTTACCACTGTGTTTTTTATCAACTGTTTCCATGGCATCAAACAAACATGTGCACAGGACTGGCAGGCAAAGGTTGCTTTCTCTGTTGTTTGGTTTTGTTCTGAGAAGGTCTCGCTGTGTCACCCACTCTAACATAGATGAGTTCAGGTCTCAATTTGGTTGTCCTAATCATCCTGTCTCAGCCTCAACCTAAGAGTGAGATCTGTATTTCTGTCAAACTTTGACGGGTTTTGGGTTTTCAGAAGAAATAAATGGTTCGTAAAGGGAGGGGGTTGTTCATATTACTTGTTAAAATTTCTTCTCAGGGGGCACCATAAGCACCATCTACCCCTTCTACTAAAGTCCAAAGAATAAACTGTGGTACTATCCTGGTAACATTCACACTGGAGAATCAGTGGGTGCATTGGTCTTCCTTACAGAGCATAGGCGAGGGGTTCCTTACAGAGGTGTGCGTCCGCCTCTCCTAAAAGGCTGCACCTGGAAAGCCTTTACCCAACAGAGATGAGGGCTTCCTCTTATCCCCATTGCTGAAGCCCCTTCCCTAGTCTCCCCCAGCCTATATACTCTAGTGGCCCATCAACCCTGCCGCGTGCAGTTAAGGCTGTGTTACATAAGCAGGTAGTGGGGAGCAGCTGGATGTCCAGGGGAGCGTCTTGTGAACCCCCCCTCACCCCCAACCCTCATGTGTGTAAACATTCAACAAACCCAGCTGGGATGATTCTTTTGGGCTCAGCTGAACGCCAAGATGATAGCTGCTTGGCTCAGAGGACAGTCACACTCAATACTTGTGTTAATATAATTAGTTCTCTCTACCTCCCTGCCTCTACTTCTTTCTCTAGGAGGAGGAAGGGAAGTGGGTCAGTCTGTAACACTCATTTTCAGTGCTACTCCCCAGCTCTTTTATGCTGATTAGGGTCATTTGGACCTTTTTGTGGCAAAGAAATCAGCAATCCCTTGTGACAGGGAGCATTT